GATTTTTTCATTGCCTGAGGGTGTCTGGGCCCGCGAAGAAGCCCAATCCCTGAGATCCGACGTGGCGTAAAGATTGCAACCTCGTGAACAAAACCACGCCCCGAGCCCCAGACCCCATCCTCCCGCGTCATTTCCCGAGTCCGATCGATGCGTGAGGGTCCCGGAGCGTGGAAAAGGGCGAGCACGCCCAGCTCGACGGTCTTGAGACGCCAGAATCTCAGGGACCCCCGCCGCGCGGAGGAGAAGAGCAGCGCCGCGCACCAGCGCCGCCGGGCCACGAGCGCGGCCTTCAGCGCGTTGGACGACGCCCGCGGGTGGCAGGGTCTGGCGCCGCCGCCGCGGCAGTGCCCGAGGAGGGGGTGCCCGTTCTCGGCGCCCGCGGACCCCGCGACGCACACGTCCTTCGAGCAGGGGATCGTCGGCTACAGGATCGATGCGCTCCCGAAGGGTTCTCTCGCCGGAGCTGTCCACAGCTCGCAGAAACCTCGGTCGATCCGGGGAGCACTGTGCTCATGTTTCGTGGACTGATCGGCCCCGCAGTCGATTTTCTCGTCGGATCCCTGGCCAGAACGTCGAGCGCTCGTTCTGCGAGCACTCTGCGAACGTTTTGCTGTCCTTGTCTCGGCGACCAAATCAGTCCTGGGGGAGATCAGTTCTGTAAGTAGTCGATCCTCTGCTCGAGTCCTCGGGGGGCGCCGGCTGGACCACCGCGGGGGGCGGCGCGTGGCCAAGCCCGTCGCCGGGAGCCAAGACCTCCTCGGGTCAGAAACATGCCGTGGCGGGCGGCGTTTCGCTATCTTCGGCCCCTGGGGGGCCTCGCCGGGCCTCGGGATCTCAGGAGCGACAGAAGGACGTACACGTACATGAATCCACGCTGGTTTCGAGGGCACGCGCTGCGCAAATGTTCGTGTAACGCGGCCGGTCTCGCGGACCGAGGGGCCGTGTTCATGTACATAGCTGGGCGCGTACGTCCTTTCTGGGCTCCCTAGGATCGTCGAACAAAAAAGGACTCAGGATGAGAAGCCGGTGCCGGGGAATTGGTCGAGGCTTCTGGGGCCGACGTCCCGAGAAATCACGGCGTCGGGTCTGGGAGAGAATCGTGTCCTGAGGGAAGCGGGTCCTGGGCTCTGTTCGCCGCGTTCTGCCTCCTGGGCCCTCCACGGGCCCCAAGACTGGTCAGGGGACAACTTAGGATGGAAGGGCTGGCTGGTCCTGGGGAAGGCCCCCTGGGGTCACGAGGAGCCCGTTTCCTTCAGGGCCCTTCTTCCTGCCAAGCTTGAGTCGGGCACGTCCCTCTACAGGAGGAATATTCAGAAATACAAGAAATAGTCTGGGGGCGATTTTTCTGTCATTTCTAAGTATTGTAGGATAATTTAAAACTATATTCAATTTTTCTTTCAAAATTCACCTGTTGGAGGACATGCCTGACCTAAGGCCAAGCACAGTTCAATGTCATCCCCTCCCCAGGTTTCCAACGAGATGTTTTTTGTCCCAAGCATCCTGTGGTGTTGGCACACCCCTCACACGGTTCGTGGCCCCATTTGGAGCTCCACCGAAGGCCTCAGTGGCAGGGTCCGCATGGCACCGCCGCCCCATTTCGGCACACCCCTCACACGATTCGTGGCCCCACAGGGAGTTCCACCGAAGGCCCTAGTGGCAGGGTCCGCATCCGCCCCATTTCGGCACACCCCTCACGCGTTTCGTGGCCCCATAGGGAGCTCCACCGAAGGCCTCAGTGGCAGGGTCCGCATGGCACCGCCGCCCCATTTCGGCACACCCTTCACACGGTTCGTGGCCCCATATGGCGTTCCGCCCAAAGCGGTACCCACAACGCGGTTCTCACATCTGCGTATGGTTTGGTCCTTCGCAACGATACTTTTCAGTCGTGGTAATTTTCCTGGATTTCGACTTCGAGGGTCCGTTCTCGGGCCCAGGGACTATCAAGAGTGGGTCTGGGAGGGAAAGAATGCCCCCCAGGGAAGCGGTCGGGACATCTCTAGGGCCGCGGATTGACAGAAACACATCGTCGGATATCTGGGCTTCAGGACTTCGGAGGCTTCTGGGACCCGGGGTGGTTTCCATCGGCCGCGCTTCGTCGAGAGCGCTTTTGGGGCTTCGTGGATGCCAGAATGAGCAGAGCCGTGTTTCGCTGTTTCCGAAAAAGTGCTTCTTGAACATGGATACTGTTCAAAAACAAACGGCAACCGAATTCGGCAGAAAAACGGTTCTGGAATTGGAGCCTGGACCAGAACCAGCGAAACAACGGCGACGGAACCAGGGCAAGAACGGCGCCGAAACCAGCAAACAAACGGCAAGAGGGAAGCGGTACCAAAATTGGCCCTGTCGTTTCCAGGCCTCCTCCTCCCCCTCCTCGTCGCCCCCCTCCTCCTCCTCCTTCTCCTCCTTCTCCTCCTCCTCCTCCTCCTCCTCCTCCTCCTCCCCCCCCTCCTCCTCCTCCTCCTCCTCCTCCTCGCCCACTGAGGTCCTGGGGGTGCCGGGATCGTTCTGGACGCCCGCCCGAGGCCCGAATCGTGGCCCGACCCCGACCACGAAGTGCGACAGAGGGTCGGAGCCCGCCGGGGAGCTGGCACAGAGCAGTGGCTGCCGGCCAGCGGCGGAGGAGTGGGGGGCCGTCGTCGCCACGGCCGGGCCCAGCTCGAAGCTCCTCCTCCTCCTCCTCCTCCTCCTCCTACCTTTCTCCTCCTCCTCCCCTCCTCCTCCTCTCATCCTCCTCCTCCTCCTCCCCCTCCTCCTTTTCCTCCCCTCCTCCTCCTCCTCCTCCTTTTCCTCCTCCTCCTTTTCTGGGCCCAGCTCGAAGCACTGGGCCCCTCCAGGGGCCCAGTGCGGGCCCCGGGAGGGGTCTGGGGACCGATTTCGAGCGGACTTGCCGCTGGTTCCCCCCTCCCCCCCCGGGTCCCCTCTTGACGCCTTCTCTTGGGGCCCGTCCAGCTCGGACCCCCGAGCAGCCTCCGAACGGAAGGGTTTCGGGCTCGCTCTCCGGGGGCCGCCGGCAAGCGAAGAGCTGGCCCCAGGGGTGGGGCCACAAATTCTTGGGGAGCCACGCTGCGGATAAGAACGCGACGTCGGAGCTCGTGGAGGAGAGCCAGCCAGACGCGGCCCTGACTCCCCCCCCCCCCCTCGACCAAGCCAGGACGGCGCAGACGCTGGTCCTGGGCCCAGGTGGGCCCAGACAGCATCGGCGAGGAGGTGGCAACATCCGACGATGTTCGGCACCACCCCAACATACTAAGATTATGTGTGCGTCGCCCCCATCCAGGGGCGACGCGCGCACCGAGGACTCTTATAATATATGCGTCATGGCGGGCGCTTTCTGGCCACACTGCTCGGGAAACGATACACTACAAGATGGGTATACTACATGTTCGGGTCGGACGCGCGCCTCCAAGGAGAACGTATAGTACTAGTACGTCTCTGTGCGTCCCAGTTGTGTTTCTTTTCCTCGCGCGGCCCCGGCCCCTTCCCCGGGGGTGTTTTTTTCGCCTCGGGCCCATCTTTCGTGGCCCCAGGGCCCGATCACTGCCTCCCGGTTGGGCGCGAGTTGATGGGGGGGCGACGAAATGCGAGGGGGGGGGGGAAGAAAGGTGCCCCTGTCGGGCCCCCAAGGCCCCCTTCGTGGCCCCTTCTGGGCCCCTCTTCTGCAGCCCCCGCTGCCCCCCCCATGTGCCGCCCCCTCCTCAACTCGCGCCCAGCCTTCAGGCGATCGCAAACATGGATCAAGGGGGCGCGGATTAGCGACGGGGCCCGTTTCCATGGGAAGTCGCGGACTTCCGCCGCCGAGCAGGGCGGCACCGGCCGCATTTTGGGGAGGGCGCCTCCCCCGATCCATGGACCTGGCGACCGCGCGCCGAACCCGCGCATCGCGAATCCCTGCCTGCTTGCGCGCCCCCGAAACCTGCAGGGGGCCGAGGTCGAGGAGCGAAACGCCGCGGCATCTCGAGCGAGCCACGCCGCCGGAGCCCTGGGGGTCGGCTCGCGCCCCCCGGCCCGTCCCCCACGCACTGCTGCCGGCGCTGCCAGGCGCGCGACGAGGCCGAGCGGCGCGGCGGCCCGCCTCCGCAGGCCGACCCCGCGACGGGCAGGCCGTGGCGGAAGCCGCACGGGCCGTGCTGCACCGGCAGGCTCCCCTTCAGTCGGGCGTGTCCCTCTGCAGGAGGAATTTGTTTCGGGGGTGGACAGAACCCCCAACAGTGACGCGTCGATTAGTGAATTGTCCGTTTTCGGTTTTCGAGAGGGCGCCGTGGCCGTTATTTTCCAGGCTTGCGCCCGCCAGGTTTGGGCCTCTAAAGGGGGGTCTGTCCATACCCGATTGTTCAAAAACAGTCAAGTAAAAAGGTAGTCTGGGGGCGATTGTCGTGACCATGCTGGGCTACCTCTGAGCCTTTGTGGACTATTTTCCGGTTCTCCTCCAGCATATTCGCCTGTAGGAGGACATGCCCGACCTGAGGTTCCCCTGCGCTGCCGCCTCCGCCCGCGAGGGCCCCCGCTGCACCGCGGCGGCGCCGCCAGTGGCGGCGCCGCCAGCGGAGCGCCGTGCGCTGCCGCTGCAGCGCCTGCCGCCGCCGAGCACGGTGGTGACCACGTCGTCGCAGAACCCGTACTGGCGGGAGGCAGAGCCCGAGCAGTCCTCGCTCACGGACGGCACGGGCTCGCTCGTCGCGGCGCAGGCGCAGGGCGCCGCGGCCGCGCGCGCCCCCGCCGCCCCCGCGGAGGCAGAGCCCGAGCAGGAGCCCGAGCAGTCTCCGCCGGCGCACGGAGGGGCTCCGCCCGACGCCGAGCAGCAGGAGGGCGCCATGGCCGCGCGCGCCCCGGTCGCCCCCGCGCCCGCACCGGCCGCCGTGGCCCACGAGGCCGAGGCCAAGGCCACGGCCAGCAAGCTCCTCGCCGAGCTCCTCACGGTGCCCGCCGCCCCGGGAGCCGCGCCGGGCGCTGCCGCGCCGCCCTTGGCGGCGCCAGCCGCGGCCGCCACCCTAGCCGAGGAGGCCGTCGCGGCTGCCGTGCCGCCGGGTGGCGCCTCGCCCAGCGGCGGTGGCCCCCAGCCCAGCGCGGCCGCGGATGCCGAGGCTCCGGGGGGGAAGGTGCCGACAGAGAGTTTTGTTCTTCGACCCCCTGCCATCACGCGCGTTTTGCCCCCTCTCCTCCCCTCCCTCTCCCCCATAACGTAACGCTCCCCCCCCCCCCCCCCTCAGTGCCTCCCCAGCACTGCTGCAGTGCGTCCGGCACCACAGTCTGGGGGGGGGGGCGTTACGTCATGCCTCCCCCGTCCACTCCACCCGACCGTTATCGCTGCGAATCAAAGCATGCGCTCATGTCCAGATCTCCAACGTGGTGCAGGAATTATCGCGGAGGGGGGCTCTCGCCTGGCCCCCGGGACCGTCAACAAAACGGCTCAGGACAAAAAACAGGCCTTCGGGAAAGGGTCGGGACTTCCGGGACCCCCGGGACGTCGGATCATCTTGGGTAGCGCTGCTCATCTTGGAGAGCTCTCGTCGCTACGGCTGGACTCTCTTCAAAATCCTGGTCAGAGCGCACCCTGGGGGAGCTTCGCGGAGAAGCAAGCGGCATGACCACTTTTGTCCAGGAGCGGGAAAAGCACACAGGCACAAATCATCGCCGATTCCCAGGAGAGTTCGGGGAACACATGGCGGTGGGCGGGGGGAAGCCGAGGATCAGGAGCATGTGCAGACACATGGGGGGTTCTGGGATTTGTGTGCATTCGTTCATGGTATTTGCGTGTATCTACTCGTGTGTCCCTGGGTCCCTTCGTGTCTCTCCCTCCAGAGGCGGCGCCGCCCGGCCCCGACGCCCCTCCGCTCGTCACGGCCGTGCGCCGGTGCGGCGCGCCAGACCCGGCTGTGTGCGTGTGCTGCGCCTGCGACGGCAAGTCGGAACTGCTCTCGAAGGCCTTCGAGCTCTGTGCCCAGCTCGCGGGAGCCGAGGAGGCAGCCTACACGTAAGTCGGGCGTGTGCCTCTACAGGATGAGTGTTCAGAAACCGTCGAAACATCTTCTGGGGACGTTTTTGTTGGGGGACAATGTTTGAGTATTGTTGGAGTATGTTTTGGCTATTTTTTACGATGTTTCGTCCAACATCTGCCTGTAGGGGGGCATGCCCGACCTAAGACTACAATCTCAGGAACATAGTTATCGGGTTGGGAGGATGGGGTTGGGAGAAATGAGGATATCATTGCCCGTGGGCGGCCGAAGGTATCGTTCATTGCATCCAGACGCTATGGCTCATACCCGTCATCCTCGCAACCCCTTCCTCTTAACACGATGATTGTTCTCCTCGCAGTCGAGCATCTGATTAAGAAGCCTCCTCCCAAATTGCTGGACCGGCGTTTCTTGGCCAATTTTGCGGGGAAGCTGGCCCAGTTTCTGGAGGGCGCTAGCACCCCTCCAGCCTTGACTCGAACATTTGGCCCAGGTGGGTCCTCAGCGGCTTCAGAAGTCTGGCCCAGGTTTCTGAAATGATGGTATGGGCTTACGGAGCTCCGCGCGGATCCCTTGGATCTGCGCCGACCTTCGACCGTTTCTCTTCCCATTGCGCCGTCGTCGCGACTTTTTTCGCAGCAGTGGACCGGGCCGGGCGAAAGGGGGGGATTGGGAAAGGGGGGGTTACGAAATTTGCTGCATGCAGCTGGTTTCGGCCTCACCGAGGGGCCCATTCCTCGATACATAGCCGCTTCCGGCGCCGGGAGGCGCCGGGAAAATCAGCTACGTGAGCTGATTCTCAAACCCCCCCTTTGCTATCCCCCCCTTTCGCCCGTCCCGAGTGGACCCCCAGAGGCCAGGCAGGCCAGGACCCCTTCCCGGTCTGGCTCTGGCTCCCCGAGCCGCTCTCTGACGGCCCTGGGGCTCGGTAAGGGCCCCGGGAGCCCGAGAGACCGGAAACGACGAACGGTCGTAGGTTTTTTTTTTTTTTTTTTTTTTTTTTTTTTTTTTTTTTTTTTTTTTTTTTTTTTTTTGTTATATATATATATATATATAAAGAAATACATTTATATTATTATTATTATTATTACTATCATTATTATTATTATACTTTTTTTTCCGGAGGGCGCCATATATATACATGTATGTATGTGTATATATATAGGGGTGTGTGTATACATATATACACATTGATATACGCTTATACAAGACTTCTATTTTATATACACAAGTTTTTACCGGCCCGCTCCGCTTCGTCCGTAGAATCTTGGTCGCATGGCGCCAGAACGGCGCGCTGGCACGGGCAGTCGTCGCTGCCGCGGTGCGCTTTGTCTATGGGGCCCATAGGGCTCGTGTGGCTCATAAAGCTCGTCTGCGATCATGGGGCTCTTGCGGCTCGTCTGGCTCTCAGGTTGATACGGAACAGACGGCTCATATTCCGTAGGGCTCATCGGGTCCATAGGTCTCGTAAGGCTCACAGTCCTCATGGGGCTCATAGGACTCATGACGTTCATAGGGCTCACGGGGCTCGCAGGGGTCATGGGGCTGCTGCTGGGGGTGATGGGTATCATAGGGCCCATGAGGCTAGGGCTCGTGGGGCTCGTGAGGCTTTTTGGGCTCATAGGGCTCATGTGGCTCAGAAAAGCTCGTGTGTGATCATAGGGCTCTTGCGGCTCGTGCAGTGCAATTCGAACCGGCAAGTCGGTCCTGCTGCCCGAAGAGATTTCCAGAAGGCCCCAAGAGGCCTCCGAGGAGCTCTAAGAGGACCCCAAGATGCCGCCAAGAAGCGCCCTAGAGGCCTCGAAACTTCCTCCAACAGGCCCCCGAAAGTCCTACCACGATATCCGAACAAACATCCGAGAGGTCTCTGGTGCCTCCTTGAGCAATCGCTTCCGAGCATGAGGGACTGGCACGGTGGCGGGACTTGCCGCAGGCAGTTGGATAGCTTTCGAAGCTGTCTCTGACTGTGCTTCGCTTGCTGCTTTCTTTGATCGTTTGAGGGCGCTCTCCCAATCAGTGCAATTAGGAAGTAAGGTCCCGCACTTTTCCTCCAGATGCTTGGCCTTCCTTTTTGGTTCGTGGGCGTTGCTACCCATTCCAAAGCCACTTTCGCTATTTTCCTGTGCGTCGCCAGCGGCACGGACTCACGCACCATCCTGATGACGATGCCTCGAGCCATCATGGAATCGATCACGACGCTCGGGCCAACCTGGCTCAGAAAGCCCCCCTCGCCCGACTTGGTGAACGCTTGCCCCGAAAGTGGGCCCGAGACGGCACCTGGACGCCCCCTGGACCCGGCATTTTGACGACCGCTCAAAATGCCGGGTGCGGGGGGCCTCTTCGGGCCACTTCGGGCCGCTCTTGGGCCGCTCTGGGGCCCCAGAGAAGGCCCCGAGAGGGCTCCAGAGGGGTCCAAGAAGGCCCCAAGAGCGGCTCCATGTGGGCCCTCGCACACGGCATGTTGACAGCTGCTGAAAATGCCGGGTGCGGAGTCCCTCTTGGAGCCCTCCTGGGGCCTTTTGGGGCCGCTCCCTTGCTCTTCTTGAGGTGCCTGGGGTTCGGCGAAGGCCGCGAGAGAGCCCCAAGCGGGCCCAAGAGAGCTCCAAGAAGGCCCCAAGAGCGGCCGAAGAGCACTGCATGATCATGCAGTAATCTTGGGGTTCTCTTGCAGCGTTTGTGGGGCTCTTCCTTGGCCTCCTCTTGGGCCCTGGAGAAGTCTCCGAGAGAGCACCACGACAACTTCCATGGGGCCTTGGAGAAACCTCCGAGAGAGCCCCATGAGCCCTCCCAGATGGCATTTGAGGGCCTCGGGGGCGTGCGGGTTATTGGGCACAGAGGGCTCGTCAGACTGAATGGGCTCATGAGCTCGTAGTGCGCAGGGCTCGTGGGTCCCGTGGGGCTGATACAGTCGGCCCGGATTCTGCCAGCTCAAGGGTACTCTTGTGTCTTGTGCCTCGCGACACGTGCCTTCTTACACTCCTATGGCGATGTGGCCCTCGGAAGGGTCTCGTGTCCTCTCGCGTGTCCTGTCCAATCAAGGCCGACTGTAGGGCCGATAGGCCTCATAGGTCCCGCGAGGCTCATTTGGGGGTCATCTGGTGGGTCTGTTAGGGCTCAACATCATAGGGCTCATAGGGCTCGTAGAGCTCATAGGGCTCTTAGGCTTCATATAGCTCGTAGGGCTCATAGAGCGCATAGGTGTCATGGGACTCATGAGGGCTCATAGGGATCATGGGGCTCGTGAGGCTCATAGGGCTCATAGGGCTCATAGGGCTCATATGGCTCATATGGCTTGTAGGACTCATAGGGCTCATAGAGTGCATAGGTCTCATGGGACTCATGAGGACTCATAGGGCTCATGGGGCTCATGAGGCTCATAGGGCTCATAGGGTTCATAGGGCTCATAGGGCTCATAGGGCTCCCGGGGCTCATCGGGCTCAGAGGGCTCATATGCATCATGGGTCTCACCGGGCTCATGGGGCGGCGCATATGGCTCATGGGGGCTCATGGGGCTCAGAGTGTTCATCATGGGCTCACAGGGCTCACAGGGCATACTGTTTATAGGGCTCATGGGGCTCATGTGGCGCGTAAGGGTCGAAGGGCTCAAAGGGCTCACAGGTGCCATAGGGCGCATAGAGTTCATATGGCTCATACGGCTCATAGCGCTCGTGGGGCTCATGGGGTTCATGAGTGTCATCGGGCTCATAGGGCTCATATTGTTCATAGGGCTCGTAGGGCTCATAGGGTTCATGTGGCTCGTAGGGCTCGTAGAGCTCAGAGGGCTCCAGGCGGCGCACAGGGCTCGTGGGGCTCATAGGGCTCATGGTGTGCATAGGGCTCGTAAGAATCATGAGGCTCACAGGGCTCAGGGCTTATCGGGCTCATAGGGTTCATATGGCTCATAGGGTATTATGGGGCTCACAGAGCGCGTAGGGCTCATGGGGCTTATGCGGTCTCATGGGGCTCGTGAGGCTCATAGGGCTCATGACGGCTCAGAGGGCGCAGAGGGGCTCATAGGTCTCAAAGGGCTCGTAGGGCTCATATGGGGTCGTAGAGCTCGTATGGGCCATAGGGTTCACAGGGGTCATAGGGCTCAGAGGGCCCAGAGGGGCTCATAGGGCTCGTGGGGCTCCTAGGTTTCATGGGGTGCAGAGGGCGCATCAAAACCATCAAGGTGACTCATAGGGCCCATCGGGCTCATAGGGGTCATGTGGCCCACAGGGCGCATAGGGCTCGTAGGGCTCATGAGGCTTATAGGGCTCATAGGGCTCGTAGGGCTCACAGGGCTCATAGGTTTCATATGGCTCGTAGGGCTCATAGGGCTCAGAGAGCTGACAGCGGCTCATAGGGCTCGTAGGGCTCATGGGGGTTATGGGGTGCAGAGGGCTCATACAGCTCGTAGGGCTCATAGGGCGCATAGGGCTCGTAGGCCTCATGGGTTTCATGGGGGTCATAGGGCTCATGGGGGCTCATAGGCTTCCTATGCCTCGTAGGGCTCAGAGGGGTCATATGGATCATAGGGATCACAGGGCGCATCGTGCTCGGAGGGCTCACAGGGCCCGTTGCGCTCATTGGGCTCATAGGGCTCATAAAGGGGTCCCAGGGCCGAAGGTATGAACGTGGCGCTAGAGAAATTACCAAGGCATTTAAGATACAATCTTGCGGAGATCAATGAGTGCGGCCCCTCGGGGCCTTGGCGGGGCTTTGTTTGGGGCTCTTTCTGGCCGTGTGGCGCCCCCCGTGGCCCGCTGCAGGACCTCCTTGGGCCGTCTTGGGGGGCGTGGGCCGTCCTGGGGCCTTCTTGGGCCCTTTCGAGAGCCTCTTGTGGCCTTCTAGGGGCTGTCTTGGGAGCTTTGGGGGGTTCTCTGGGGTTCCATGTGGGCCGTCTTGGGGCTGTCTTGGGCCGTGTTGGGGCTCTTTGGGGCTGTCTTGGGGCCCTCTTCGGGATTTTTTGGGCTGCATTGGGGCGATCTGGGGGCCCGGCTAGGCCGCCTTGGA